AATAAATAACCCAATTTTATGATAGAAGCTTGCAATCTTGTGCCATACAGGGTCAAGTGATTGAGCAATAACAAATGTGATTTTATGTATTAGGTCATTGAATGTATCCAAAAACATTGTACCAATGATCTGAAATTTCAGGAGTGCTCGCTGAAGGTTTATCAATCCTGCGTATTGTCTTGTTCTTTTTCAATCCTGCATTTCAGTTACTAGAACTCATACTAAAAAAATAGTTTCTGTTTTTTTTCTAATAATTCGGCCACTTTCAAAAACAAATATTTTTCCATGGTCGAAATGCAAGAAGAATACAAAACTACTGTGATTTCATAGCGATACCTGTAGGGCCATTGTCAATTAGTTCACCTGATCAACACAGGGATATACATAGGGCTGATATTGAATCACGGAGAGTAAAATCTTGTGATACTAATCTCTAGAACCACTCAGATTGGTACATATGTCTTATGAACCCACATGTGTATATCTTTAACAATACTCATTTTAAACTTTTTTTTTTTTACAGTGGTGATGTGAACTGAATTTTTTCTGGGTTCCTACAACATGGAGTGTCAGGGACTTTATTGAAATGTTGTACACAAATTTCATAAAATCCTGAATATATCTAGAAGTCAAAATTAAATGGTTTACAGTATTTTATACCCATTTATAATTGAAATGCAATAATATCACTGCACTAAAAAGACTTCAAACAATTATTGTTACTTCTCCATTGAAGGTTATGAGCAGACCCAATCTGATTAAAATCTGATGTAGTGTACAGGCTTTAATTATTTTGGCTATAAACTTATTTTAATTTTATTTTTTATTACTTTTATTATTAATGCCCTTTTATTTTATTATTTTACTTTGATTTTGATTTTTTTAATTCCGCCCTACATACATCTGATCCGACGCCTACGTAAGTCCCGTTCAAATCTCGCGTAAGTAACAGCCAATCACAGGCCCCCTTTTATATAGGCTGTCGGTTGCTTACTTTTCAGGGTAGCGATACTCCACGGGCAATCTTTCTGTAAATTATATTTTACCCACTTGAATAAACCATTAATAGAAAATTGCTAGTATATTTTTATTTACAAAAGAAATTCCACAGCATTTTACAATTTTTGTCATTACATTGAATATTTTGTTCACTTCCAACAAATGTGTACACTTCCTGATACATCTTCGCCAGCCAAGGTTCGTTTATTCAGTCATCGCTTCAATTTTACATCAAACACTGAGCATAATTATCTAGAATGGAAGCAAAAAAATAAGTAAATCGTAATGATTAGAACACTGTAAACAGCTATAGTAAACAATGCAAATTTTAAATTGTATAACGG